TCTACTACGTGTGCGCGTGTGTGTAAGCAATATACTCCCGATTCTATTGAACACTAGAGTCTGATATTTTGCATATAGATACTCGAAGTATAAGATATTAACTAAGGTTGTACATCAACAYTTTGTTTTTCGAACATCTTAAAAAAAGATATTTACAATTACGTTGGTTAATAATGGTAAATAATGAGAGTATATTATTAAATCGAACACATGGTATAAACGAAATATAGGTACCTGGTACATGCTATACGGCAATATTATGTATACTAAATACTTGGTGAAAGTCTGAAATATATTATTGGATTCATAACTATAATAATTAATAAATTATATATACCTATTAATAATTATCTTCTACTACTCCTCCGTAGTTTCATATCAGTATGACAGGAGTGTGTGTGACCTAATCAATACACATCTATGTCCATCACACAAATGGTTGTGAACTTTTATAATTTAATATCGTGAACCCGAGACATAGGTTATTTTCCTAAGATTCAAGGCTGAGCAAGTTAATGATTTTTTTAACTCCCGAAATGACAACGCAATGCACTCGTGCGTCGTCGATCGTTGATAACAACAATATAATATCTAGGCATATACTATATATTATTATATTATTATCGTTACTTGATATAATTGATTTAATAACATAAAACCTTATATTATTATAAAATTAAAAATATATCTACAGAGTGTTAGTGTACAGAGTGATTGGAAAAATATAAAATTTTAACTTTAAACAATTCACGGAAAATATTTTTTTGACACAACACCAAAATTGACTCAAATAATGAAATGTAAAAACATTAAAAACAAAATAAATTAACTTAACTTATTTCTTAAAATGAAAAATTAATTCGTTAATTTCATGTTAATCAAAAAATAAATTTAGTAAGTTAGTTGTTAAGTTAATGAAAATCCAAAATTTAACTAGTTAATTTAAAAAGTTAAAGTAAAATTGACTTTTCAACTTAATTTTAACTTTTTAAACCGTTAATGCTCAGCCTTGCTAATAGATGTTGAAAAATAAAATAAAAATAAAAAATGTCTTTAGAATTCTTGTGGTAGTCTTACAGATTTTTTTTTAGTTTTTGTCATTTAAATTTTTTTTTTTTAAATTTAATTTAAATTTAAAATTATCATTATATGGCCATATATTTTTCCAGATTATAAGCTTAATTGTTTTTTTTTTCAGGCGTAATGGGTGGAATCGTACAAGTTTTTGGATACGAGTTAATGTTTTTAGTCATAAAAATTTACCCTGCCTTTGTGTCGAAATTTGGAGTTGAATGTGTCTGGTCAGTTTTCACAATATTCTCTTTAGCAAGTGCATTGTTCGGTGCATTCATAATGCCAGAAACAAAAGGAAAATCTCTCAACGAAATATTACTATCTTTTGATTCTCGCGAAAAATCGATAAAAAATAACTTGCCTTAATGGTATTGCATTATACTACTATAATATAAAACATTGTTTTTTTTATTTCTATGAAACATATATTATTGCAATTTTGTTTAAAGGAATTTCATGTATATTATTCAATGCACATTGCTATTCCATTATTAAATAATTCTATATTGTAATTTATTTA